GTTAACTGAACATCATTAGTTAAATTAAACCGATGGTTATGGGATATAGTCTTGGGCTTACTTTTTTTTAGGACAAATTATATGGTTTGATTTTGAGGCTTACTATTAAGGAAAAACTCTAAAAAACATTGAATAAAATTTCTATCTTAATGGATCAAAAAATCAATTATTATTTTCAGGCCCAAATGTATTTAATATTTTTAACAAAACAAAATTGCATATACTTTAAAACATGTTATTGTATTTTTTTATTTTAAATAACAATCACTTTTTTGATAAATTTCAATGGTAACTTTTAAATAATTTATTGTTTTATTTTTCTTAAATAATTTACTGATTTAAAAAAAAATGTAAAGCAAAACCAAAAACCAATTCTAAAAACTAAAACCAAAACCAAAAGCTGAAAGCGCATTGTTCTGGATAACATATTGTTATAGTTTTTGCTTTTGTTTATTTACAAAATAAACTATTGCAATTTTTTTTAAAAAAAAATTTTTGTCATCTTTTCAGTTTTAAATTAGATGTTCGATTATTTGAAATTTGTTTGTTGGTAATATCAGTTCAAACTAACTCAGCGGATTTAAAAATTAAAAACCCAAACAAAAGCTGAAAATCAAAAATAGAAACTTAAAAACTAAAAACCAAAATCTAAAAATAAAGACTGAAACTAAAAACTAATGAAAAAAATAGTCACCACAAATTTTGGTAAACTGATTTTGTACCAAAACATTCTTTAAATTAAGACATAACCCAATTATATAAATTTTAGTTATAAAAAATTTCCGCGCTTTCAAGCGCGGGTCAAAATCTAGTTTCTATTAAAGTGATGCTGAATAAAAATATACTTATAATATTTTTGTTAGCATCAGTTTCCTTTATTGATATAAATTATATATCATATTAATAAGTGATGTTAACCAAAATAATAAATGCATCAGTTGTTGAATTGATATAAATCTATATAACAGTATTAGTTTAGTTAAAATGATGCAAATTCATATAAATTATATCATTTTACTGAATTTATGTTAATTTAATTATTAAAAACATCAATTTGTTGTAACTGATTTAAAATCATTTATATTTGTGTCATTTCTAAATAAGTAATTTAAAATAGTATCACTTATTTTTGTGGTGTAATTTAAGTGATACAATTTACTGTTTTTTTGTAGTGATTTTTTTTTTGGGGGGGGGGGGTTTGTTATTTAACATATATGATAACATTTATATTTTCTTAAGGAACTGTTAAAATATTAAATGGTATATTACGATTTCCAAAATCTATTGGTTTTATATAATTAGTAGATTTTCATATTTGTTAAGGAACTATTAAGATATAAAATCTATTGGTTTCATATAATTATTAGATTTCCATATTTCATATTTTGATGATATATATTCTTAGAATATTCCATATTTGTACGACAAAATATATGTGTTTTTGGTAATGCAGTTTGATTTATCAGCATCAAGTTTGATTTGATTTAAGTAATGCGTTTCAATCAACTACAGTATAATCTCTTTAAATTAATACATTTTAAATTAATATAAACTAAAAATCTCTATAAAATAATATAATTGTATAGTACCAAATTGAGTTTTTGGTTCAATTAGTATATCGATAAATTAATAATCTCTATAAATTAATAAAAAACTATAGTTTTGGTATAATCCTAACATTATTAATTTATAGAGGTTTCACTTTATATGGCATGTATTATTTGTAACACTCTAGAAAAAATTCAAATTTAAATGACAACATGTTCAGTAGATAAAAAAGACTATATTTTAATAGAATAAATTTTTACCATAAATAAAATTAATTGATTGTATTTTTAAGAAAGATTTTGGTAAATATAATTAATGCTGAAAATTAGGATTAGTTAATTTTTATTGGCATTAGGTGTAAGTAAAATGTTATTGTAAGGGTCAGTTCATATAGGTATTTCAACTTTAATAAGATTTGCGTTAGTTTAGAATCTCAGATTCTCGCAGTATCCTAACTATATTTAGTTTTTTCTTTCCCCCATATCTAGATTACCTAAATGCATGTTTATAGACCAATTTTAGTAAACAATGAGAAAAATGATTTGTTAGCCATTGTATTAAATAGACAAGTCAATTTTTTTATCTAAAAGTAATTATATTAATTAAAATTGAATGAAATAATTGACGGGGACAAGATAATTATAATGAATGTGGTATTTTTTAATTTCCTTAACAAATTATATTAGGTGTAATTATTTTAGGGGGGGGGGGGTTGCCCCTTCCACACCTTATATACAGCTGCCCCTGTTCACATGTTTGACCAATAGCAATCCTACTAACTTCTTAAAATTACATTTAAAAGACTACATAATTTTACGAGTGGATATAATATTTGTTGATAGAGTAAAATAAAAGCAGTTTTTTGTGATATTATCAAAAAGAAATAAAATAGTAAAGCCATAAGAATATATCAAATATAGTGTTTTATCGATAAATAAAGCAGGAGCACATCACATTGGTTTGTAAACCCTAATTAGCTATTTGCTTATCATCATATACAATACTAAAAAGGCTAATACTCCCCCTTCATGCTGTCACGTCAGCTTTTTTATTCAACCAATATGGAGTTATTTTTCGTCCATGTCAGCATTATTTGTTGTTCGGATGGGCCTGGATTGTTTGTAAATCAATTCTTATGTTATTCAAATATTGGGCTTCATGAAATGTCCCACAGCCCATTTGTGATTTATTAACCTGAGGTCGACTTCCTCTTTCCCTTAACTCGGTGATGAAACCATAAATTCACATAAATCGATTTCCAGACGATTCCTCTTTGTCTCCTTCGACTTCTTCGTAACTCCCTCTTCTAATCACTAATATCCCTCTTCTACTCAATTAGTACCCACTACTCTACACTCTTAACTCTCATTGATGGTCTCCGTTCAGTCTCTTTACCTTGACTTCTATATAAGAATCCCTCCCTCAATTGATTATTCTATCAGAAAATTTTGTATCCTCACCATTATAGATTACGATGACTTTAACCGGAGTTCCCGAGTTACTAACATCAACCAGAAAACCCGCGGCCCCCTCCATTCCAAACAAATCTGACAGTCAAACCCCTGTGTCTTCCGACCATCTTACCTCCACGAAATCAAAAGGCGTCGCTGCGGTCTACTCCAGGGCAATCAAACCAATCGGAAAAACCGGTGGTGCTTCCGGTCTTCACATCGCCGCCGGTGGCAAAGTCTCTCTCTCTACCGCCGCAAAAGGGAAAGCGATTGTTTCCGACAACGTAGGGGACGTGCTCTCCTTCAAGGATGTGACTTTGGGCCCCCATGATGGCGAGCTCCGGTTCCATCTAATCCACTTCTGGGAGGCTTGGAATCCAAAGACAAAGATGCTAATCGGAATAGAGATGCTTCTCATCGATGAAGAGGTATAAACTGATTTCTTTTGTAAATATTAGCTTCGATATAACTGCTTTGTCTTGATTGAATGATAATTTTATTTTCATATATTAGTATATATATAATAGTTTTTTTTCAATTCATTGAAAACGCCTGCTTTGAAAAACATTTTACTCACAAGATCAGCGGTTAAGATTCCTTCATGTATTGGTTTCAAAGAAAATGTTTGCTTCAACAGCCAAATAGATTGACTCGATTTCTTTATCTGTGGTTGTACATTTCATGTCAAATATGTGAATTAAAAATTTTATTCACATGATTAGCGGTTAAGATTCTTCACGTATTGTCTTTTAAAAAAAATGTTCACTTCAGAACCCAAATAGATTAATTAGATTTCTTTATTTCTGGTTGTTCAATACATGTCAAAATATATAAATTATTGTTACTGCATGTTTTCCTGCATAGCTTCTCTGATTTCTTTTTTTTTTTTTAAAAAAAAAACAGGAAACCGTCATCCAGGGCTTCATCCCCAACGGAAGGACTGAGACCTATTTGCGTCACATGAAGGCTGGTGCAACTTATCGACTCTAAAATTTTTTTGGCTCACAGAGCAAGACCATGTACCAGGTAGCCGACCCCAGTGTCACTATAAGTTTCTCATGGAACTCTGTCCTCTCTGATCTCAATGACAGTGCCGTCATTTTTCCTGATGATCGGTTCCGGATCCATGGGTACAAAGAATTTGAAGCTGCCTCCGATAAGCGAGGTGATCTGTATGGTAAGTTTTTCGAAAAAATTAATCAAAAAATGGGTTTATTGGATGATGTTCTGTTTTGAAATGTTAACCGATGATAGTGTTTTAGTAGCGTTTCAGAAAAAGCATCCATTCATGTATTTATGGGATTTAATACAATGAGTGTTATTTTCTTCTCTTGCAGATTATATTGGTCACATCAAACTTGTGAATGGGGATGTTCCCAATGACAAACTTCAGCTTGACGAAATAGAGATTGCAGCAACTCGGCGTGTTGAGCTACATGTCCAAACCGATGAGTAAGTAATTTTAACCTTCGACCAAATTTACATAACTTTACGTTAGCACTAGATATTCAGTTACAATGTTTTAATATTTAATGATTTCTATAGCGAACCGGTGATGAAGGTATATCTATGGGATAAAGCTGCTTTCGAGTTCGGTGATAAATTCAAAGCCTCTGGAGGCACTGCAAGTGTTATCTTAGTCACCACCTTAAATTCGAAACATTTTGGAGGTTTGTATTTCCGAATTTTATGTCTTTCTGGAGATGTTAGATAGGGTTGGAAACATCTCTGATTAGTGTAGGCCTGAGTACGTATTATTTCTTGTGATACATAGCTCTGGAATGATACTGGTAGGAAAGTTGTTTTTTAGTTAACGTTAATGTATATTAAATATGAAACATGTTTAAAATTTGTTAAGAAATAATAGACGAAGAATCTACATAATATCAGAGATTAGTATAAACTACGTTTTGTTTTTAAAAAGACTCCAACCATTATAACATGGCGTAGCTCCTGAAACATGGTTTGTTTTATGTTGTAGGCATTTTATCTCTGTTCTCCATGACTGCTTCACGGGTATTTTTGGACAATGATATCCAAGAGACCCGGCAATATCTGAGTTGGTAAGGTTTAGGATTTCATATTTTTAAAAATAATTTAAACTGTTCTATTATTGTGTTGACTGATTCATCTTTTCCTACAGGTTGAACTCGAACTTTGATGTTGCCAAACAGAGTGAATGCAACAGTTGTTATCAACAGTTTCCAACCCTATCTAACATCTCCAGAAAGACATAAAATTCGGAAATACAAACCTCCAAAACGTTCCGGATTTAAGGTGGTGACTAAGATAACACTTGCAGTGCCTCCAGAGGCTTTTAATTTGTCACCGAACTTGAAAGCAGCTTTATCCCATAGATATACCTTCATCACCGGTTCACTACAGAAATCATTAAATATTAAAACATTATAACTGAATATCTGGTGCTAACGTAAAGTTTATGTAAATTTCGACGAAAGTTAAAATTACTTACTCATGGGTTTGTACATGTAGCTCAACACGCCGAGTTGCTGCAATCTCTGTTTCGTCAAGCTGAAGTTTGTCATTGGGAACATCCCCATTCACAAGTTTGATGTGACCAATATAATCTGCAAGAGAAGAAAATAAAACTCATTGTAGTAAATCCCATAAACACATGTATGGATGCTTTTTCTGAAACGCTACTAAAACACTATCCTCGGTTAACATTTCAAAACAGAACATCATCCAATAAACCCAGTTTTGATTACATTTTTTCGAAAAAACTTACCATACAGATCACCTCGCTTATCGGAGGCAGCTTCAAATTCTTTGTACCCATGGATCCGGAACCGATCATCAGGAAAAAGGACGGCACTGTGATTGAGATCTGAGAGGACAGAGTTCCATGAGAAACTTATAGTGACATTGGGGTCGGCTACCTGGTACATGGTCTTGCTCTGTGAGCCAAAAAAATTTTAGAGTCGATAAGTTGCACCAGCCTTCATGTGAAGCAAATAGGTCTCAGTCCTTCCATTGGGGATGAAGCCCTAGATGACGGTTTCCTGTTTTTTTTTAAAAAAAAATAAGAAATCAGAGAAGCTATGCTGGAAAACATGCAGTAACCATAATTTATATATTTTGACATGTATTGAACAACCAGAAATAAAGAAATCTAATCAATATCTGGGTTCTGAATTGAGCATTTTTTTAAAAAGACAATACGTGAAGAATCTTAACCGCTAATCATGTGAATAAAATTTTTAATTCACATATTTGACATGAAATGAACAACCACAGATAAAGAAATCGAGTCAATCTATTTGGCTGTTGAAGCAAACATTTTCTTTGAAACCAATACATGAAGGAATCTTAACTGCTGATCTTGTGAGTAAATTTTTTTTCAAAGCAGGCGTTGTCAATGGATTAAAAAAAACTATTATATATATACAAATATATGAAAATAAAATTATCATTCAATCAAGACAAAGCAGTTATATTGAAGCTAATATTTACAAAAGAGATCAGTTTATACCTCTTCATCGATGAGAAGCATCTCGATTCCGATTAGCATCTTTTATCTTAGGATTCCAAGCCTCCCAGAAGTGGATTAGACGGAACCGGAGCTCGCCATCATGGGGGCCCAAAGTCACGTCCTTGAAGGAGAGCACGTCCCATACGTTGTCGGAAACAATCGCTTTTCCCTTTGCGGCGGTTGAGAGAGAGACTTTGCCAGCGGCAGCGATGTGCAGACCGGAAGCACCACCGGTTTTTCCGATCTGTTTGATTGCCCTGGAGTAGACCGCAGCGACGCCTTTTGATTTCGTGGAGGTAAGATGGTCAGAAGACACAGGGGTTTGATTGTCGGATTTGTTCGGAACGGAGGGGGACGCGGGTTTTCCGGTTGATGTTAGTAACTCGGGAACTCCGGTTGAAGTCATCGTAATCTATAATGGTGAGGATACAAAATTTTCTGATAGAATAATCCATTGAGGGAGGGATTCTTATATAGAAGTCAAGGTAAAGAGACTTAACGGAGACCATCAATGAGAGTTAAGACTGTAGAGTAGTGGGTACTAATTGAGTAGAAGAGGGATATTGGTGATTAGAAGAGGGAGTTACAAAGAATTCGAAGGAGACGAAGAGGAATCGTCTGGAAATCGATTTATGTGAATTTAGGGTTTCATCGCCGAGTTAAGGGAAAGAGGAAGTCGACCTCAGGTTAATAAATCACAAATGGGCTGTGGGACATTTCATGAATCCCAATATCTGAATAGCATAAGAAATGATTTGCAAACAATCCAGGCCCATCCGAACAACAAATAATCCTGACATGGACGAAAAATAGCTTCCTATTGGTTGAATAAAAAAGCTGACGTCGCAGCATGTTTCGTATTTAATATACATTAACGTTAACTAAAAAACAACTTTCCTACCAGTATCATTCCAGAGCTATGTATCACAGGAAATAATACGTACTCAGGCCTACACCAACATGTTTCATCTCTGATTTGTGTAGGCCTGAGTACGTATTATTTCCTGTGATACATAGCTCTGGAATGATACTGGTAGGAAAGTTATTTTTTAGTTAATGATATGTATATTAAATATGAAACATGTTTAAAATTTGTTAAGTAATAATAGACGAAGAATCTACCTAATATCAGAGATTAGTATAAACTACGTTTTGTTTTTAAAAACTCCAACCATTATATCATGGCGTAGCTCCTGAAATATGGTTTGCTTTATGTTGTAGGCGTTTTATCTCTGTCCTCCATGACTGCTTCACGGGTATTTGTGGACAATGATATCCAAGAGACCCGGAATATCAGAGTTGGTAGGGTTTAGGATTTCGTATTTTTACAAATAATTTAAACTGTTCTATTATTGTGTTGACTGATTCATCTTTTCCTACAGGTTGAACTCGAACTTTGATGTTGCCAACAGAGTGAATGCAACAGTTGTGACCAAGCCTGAGACCGTGACTTTGGGTGACCTCTTCTCCTATATGCAGAATCCATCCGCAAAGGTATTAGAGTCCCCACTGACAGTTACCTTCAGTACGATAGTATAAGTTACTAACTGAATTTGACAAATAATTTTACAGGTTGCTTGGTTTGAGTTCACAGCAACTATTGATGATGTTGTGCACAGTGCTAGCTGGTATTACATAGTCTGTGGTGTGTGTCATACTAAGGCAATCAAAGGGCCGACTACGCTTATGTGTAAGAAGTGTGGCAAGAATGAAATTCTTGGTGTGGCACAGTAAGTGATTTAGATTTTGTAACTCATTTTCTTTGATTGCAATTGTTATTAATGGCTACACGTTCTAGGTACCACACAAAGATCTCTGTGTATGACCACAAAGACCAAGCTGTATTTGTTGTACTTGGTGATGCTGGTGAGTAGTTGACTTGAAAGAAAGCAGCTGAGTTGGTTGAGAGCTATTACGAGGTAACTCTAAACCTATATGTTCATCAGATTTATAAAGTTTTCACAGATTAAATAATTGTTCTGAGGATGACTAAATCTCTGTTAGGCGAATGAAATTGAAGAGGAGGATCACATTGTTCCAGTGCCTCAAGATCTAAAGGGCACCATTGGACAGACATGCAAGTTTGTTATCAAGGTTTCTGCTTATAATCTGACTGGCAAGTCGCAGAGTTTAACTGTGACAAAGGTGCTCCGTGTTGAAGCACCAGCACCCGAAATGAACATTGGAGACCAAGATGAAGAGGAACCTGAAAATGAAAGAGAGGATCAGGGAAACGAGTCGGTGAAAAGGGGTGCTGAAGGGATTGAGCTTGAAGGAGCCAAGCGTCCAAAGTGTGGCTAAAGATTTCCTTTTCACTCAACAATGAAAGTTGGTGGATACGCCATCCCCCAACTTAGTACTGCTTTTTGTTGAATTTAAGACTTTGCTTTGTTTTTCCTTTTAAATGGATTTCATATTTGCAGCATTCTAAAAACCGTCGTTCGAGTTTCATTTGCTTATACTATCTAATATAATTCTATTTACATGCTATATAGTAGACATTAAGAAACAAAACTACCTACATATATATATATGAAGCATTCAGCAACAACTCGATTCCTGAGTTTATATCTTGGTGATGTGAAACACAACATTGGTCGCACTGACTTACGAATCTTAATATTGTTAGTTTTGTGTATCATTTGTATTGCGGGTTTTTAAATAAATAAAGGAATCTTGATTATTAACTCAGTCAATAAGTCATTTACGTAGATTTACAAAGATTAATGTTGTTACCATACAGAATCAAATTAAAAACTCAAAATGGAGAAAAACTTTTACTAATACGAAGTTATCGACCAAACTATTGTCTATAAGTACAAGTCAACTNTTTGTGTATCATTTGTATTGCGGGTTTTTAAATAAATAAAGGAATCTTGATTATTAACTCAGTCAATAAGTCATTTACGTAGATTTACAAAGATTAATGTTGTTACCATACAGAATCAAATTAAAAACTCAAAATGGAGAAAAACTTTTACTAATACGAAGTTATCGACCAAACTATTGTCTATAAGTACAAGTCAACTACACTGCCGCTTGGGTGATTCATCAGTACTTTAGATCCTACAGCACCCTCCTTAAACCTAGATACAAACTTAGTCCCCAAGAAGTCATAAAATGAAATAATTTCTTTCTCTTTTAAGCTTCTCTAATCATAATTATGTGGTATAATAGATTAGTGGATAAAGTTTTTTAAAATGCTCCTACAAAAAATATCAGATTTTATTCATAATCATATCTCTATCAAGATCTAAATTTTATTAAAACAGATTTTCTAACTAAAAAAACAAAACAACGTATTGAAATCAACAACTGAGACGTATATAATATATACGCACATAACTTGAACTAAATGAAGATATAATTGGAGGGTGTATTTGTACTAGATATAATTCCCAAAATTTGGAAGCTTTTATATAATTTAATAATATCCACGAGTTTTGGGGACGATTTGTTCTTATAAAATGTTTTTTTTCCAGCAAAGATGTCTATATGAATGTACTAAAATAAAATATGGCCATATATTATACATCAATTTTCTATAAAAACTGCTGTGCTTTAAATAACATGTTCCAGTCAAACATGCACATGAATTACATAGGAAGGTGACGTATATTAACCTCTGATATCGGCAACTATGTGGACACCACATTCTCATAGAACCCTATACATAAACTATTAGACCAACGGTACATATATCGCATTGAACCTTAAAATGTATTCAATTTAACGGTTATTGGGGTTTCATTTTTTGAACACGTATATGGTTTTCACCTTCACAAAAATTCAGGAGGAAACACACAGAAGCGGAAACGTGGCCGTCCAGTTGGATCACGCAACAAACCAAAAGATGTGTACTTAGACGCTTGATATTTAATTCCCGTATTAAAAATTACTCTAATCGTCATGAAGCTACGTATATTTGCAGTTCGTATGATTAATGACCGGCCAACGTTCAAGCCAACTTTCTATGATTGTAAGTTCATATAATTTCTAATCCATTATTTCTTCAATACATAAACATAAAACAAACTTATTCTCAAGTTTTATCATATAGGTGGATGTGAAGGTTGTGACTATTACGGTATGTAATACTAATCTAATAGATTCTATGAATATATATTCGCTGCGGTTAATAACTTTCAATCTTTTTAGTCTCAACCAAAAATGCAGGTAACATGAGGAGGGCCATTACTGCATTCGAAACGAATCTCAAGACCATCTCAAGGTAAACAACGTAAATCATGAACACATCTATCTTACATAAAATTTAAAATTAAATATAAGTTGTTATTGCATAGACCGGGATGCGCATTACAAGAAAACTCGTCCATTACTAGAACGGGTTTTCCTCGTTATTTCCTAGTAAATGACCTTTTACTAGGAAATAACGAGGAAACGCGTTTCCTCGAAACACGTTCATCGTAACGCTATTTTCCTCGTAAGCTCCTAGCGAATTTACGAGGAAATGTCTCCTCGTAAAGGCGTTGTTATATTTTCCTCGTAAGGTCCTCGTACGCTTTCCTCGTAAGCTCGTAGTAAGTTTTTCCTCGTAAGATCGTAGTAATAGATTACGAGGAAATTACTAGAACAAGTTACGAGGATATTACTTGGAATCATTTACGAGGATTTTGCTTCGAAATGTTTTTTTCCCTATTTAAAAAAATAATTATAAATAATTATTTTTTTTAAAAAAAATTTAAAAAAATCAAATTATAAATAAAAAATAAAAAAAAAATATTTTATAAATAACTAAATAATATACAAAAAGTTTTTAAATTCATAATATACAATTAAAAATAAAAAAAACTACAGATGCTAGTCGTGAAATTGCTGAACGAACTGGTCGTCGTCCTGGCTCGGCAAATCCTCTCCATAGTTAGTTGCCGGCTGTGACTGTGATGGTGGATGCTGTTGGGTTGGAATCCCTCCACGTTCCCGTCTCTGACGCAACATCTCCTTCACACGCGGGTTTCCAACCGCCATAATGTCGAGGACATCGGTGAGAGAAGTCACATGCCCGGTGAGCGAAGTCACATGAGACTGCGTCGCCTGCAACTCCGAGCGCAGCTGAGCATTGACATTGTGCTGCTCCTGATGATAAGACGATGTCGCTGCAGGGACATCGTTAACCGAGCCAATCCCGATGATACGCCCCTTTTTCCTAGGGGCGACCTGGAAATAAAAATATTAATAACATTAAGAAAAAATTTAAAAAAATATTAAAAATTAATAGTAAAACAAATTATTTACCTCCTCGTAAATCTTATCCACGTCAACAGTGGATAATATGACTGGAGTCCCAGTCTGCTGAGTCAGCTGGGTCTGGCGTTCGTCAACTCGGGCAACAAGGTCGTTGTAGATCCGCTCGGAAGCAAGATCTACAAACTACCCAGCCTTGTTCTGGTGGGTCCTCTCGTAAAGGTCTTTCAGAGATGGAAGAACTCCTGTCTCCTTAGCCTAAAATTAATTTATAAAATTAAATATTAATTTGGAATATTCAAATAAAATAAAAATTAAATTGTTATTAAAAATCATCTTACCATGTCTAGACGAACTCCCCCGTGAGGTTTTCGACCCGTGGTGTGAANTTTATAAAATTAAATATTAATTTGGAATATTCAAATAAAATAAAAATTAAATTGTTATTAAAAATCATCTTACCATGTCTAGACGAACTCCCCCGTGAGGTTTTCGACCCGTGGTGTGAAGCACCTTCGTGTTGCCATGCTCGTCTTTGGTCATGCGGTTCCCGGAGTTTGTGTTGGAGGTTCTGACCGAGTCCGGCAATCCCCAATAGCTGAAGAGGCCATCCAACACCGTGGTTGTGAGGAAATCGGGTTTCCCGGCCTCGTAACCATCCACCTGATTTAAAAAAAAAAAGAATTAAAGTCAATATATATATATATATATATATATAATATTTTTAAAACTATATATATATTATAATTTATAAATCTATACTTGATAATCGCCCTTCCAGTTGTAGACCATGTCGAGCAATCGTGCTCTTGCCTTGGCCTCAAACTCCTTCTTCACTCACTGGTGAATCCCAATAGACCAACGATACTTTTGCTGTAACCAGAAAAAATAAAAGACGGATTAGTTCAATAATATTAATAAATTTAAATAATTAAAAATAAATTAACGAATTAAACTTACAGCGAACGATTTGAACCACGTCTTTTTGTGTGGCTCGCCGTCATCTTCCAGTTTGGAGCTGGATTGGGAAAGTATCCCCTGATACAGTCTGTGACGCTAGATCCGACACAATTGTCAAGACCAAACCTGGAAAGACACAAAATAAATCATTAATTAGATTAATTTCTAAATATTTTGTTAATTAAGAAATAAATTAAAAACTTTTTAAAAATTAAAACATACCATAATATGTTTTGGCCGTCCCGTCAGTAAGGATCTAACTCTGCCAGCCCTTCTCTGCCTGGAAGGGCCAAAATATCCTCCACCGTGTACACCGCAAAGGGTGCGTTCGGCGGCACCTGCAAATCGGGATGAACCCCAACCGGTGGAGGAGGAGGAGGAGGAGGTGGTTGCCGGGACGCCGTAGAAGCTCCCTGAGTCTCGGAAACAGCGTCACGATCCGGAATCGAAGATGAACCGGGAGCTGACGAAGATGAACCCGGAGCATCCTGACGCCCAAACATATCTCCGTAGCTTATCCCCTCGAGAGACGACGTCCTCTTACTAGCAGCCTTAGCAAGCTTGTCCTGTCTAGGCATATATATTTTTTAAAAAAAGAAAATCAAAACATTAATTCCCGTATAATTTAAAAAAACAGTAAATAAAAGTAAACCAACCTAATCTAAATTACCTAAACTAACCACCTAATCTAAATTACCTAAACTAACCACCTAATTAAAATTTCCTAAACTAACCACCTAATCTAAATTCCCTAATCTAATCACCTAACTACGGATTAGAGAGAACCTTTAGAGGATTTAGAGAGAAGGTTACTAGCAAATGAGAAACCGGATTGCTCGAGTATATATAAGGAATTTTGTTTCCTCGTAAAGTCCTAATAAAATTACGAGGGCTTTACGAGGAAATATCTATGCCCGTGTTTTTATTTCCTCGTAAGGTCCTCGTAAAGGTTGTACTAGGGATTTACGAGGAAAACCCTTTACGAGGAAATAGCTATGCCCGCGTTTTTTTCCTCGTAAAGCCCTAGTAACACCTTAATAGACCATTACGAGGAAATTTCGATTCCCGTGTTTTCTATTACTAGGGCTTTACGAGGAAAGGATTTATAAATCCCTAAACTCGAAACCCCAAACCAC